TATCTTCCATGATCGATGGAGCCCGGGAGGGACGTGCGGGGGGACGTGAGCGCGCCGCGTGTAATTTGACGTTTAGCGATTTAAACGTTTGTCTGTGATCACCACGGCGCATCTATAATCTATGTGCGTCGTCTCTCTCTCTCTCTCTCTCTCTCTCTCTCTCTCTCTTCTTCTTCTTCTTCGTCTCTTTCTCTATCTCTTTGGGCGTCACCCTGTGCGTGCGCAGCTCACGCACAGCGGCCAAGAAACGCAGCTGCCACCTCGTCGACCAGAGGTGAATCCCCTGTGCAGCGTGGCGGACAGAATATATTCCCTTCCCTCTCTACCCCCATCTCCTTTTCGTTGTTCACCTCCTTTTTCATCAGCCGGCGTTCTCTACGCCTGGTGCTATCGCCGGTGCAAATCAGAATCCGGGTCTATCCGTAATGGGAGTAGCGTTTTGGTCGTGTTCGGCGGCCGCCAGACTCCCTCTGGATGGAAATGGAAATCAAATCACTAGGCTGTGGGTGCACCACATTGCGAACGACCGGTCTCTCGCCGAGTGAATGACCACTGAATCTATGCTTATCTCTCTGCAGTTATGTATTATAAAACGACCAGCATCGATGTGAATGGGTTCTGAGATGTGCGAAAGGCTGGCCGATGTTTTTCAACGATATCGTCGCTTCTCAACGATGTTAAACGATATATAATAGCATTGTAGGCAATCTGTAATAATTTTACATCCTACCGTAAATAATTAGAAGATTAATAATGTTATGTAATTAACTTGAGTATAATTTATAATCTTTCACATACTTACGTAATATTAAAATTTTTTAGATATCTTAATATCACTTAATTTATTCTATAGAATCGTTCTCGAAAGAACATTCGTTTGATGTAATTTATTCAATTTTTATTTTATACAAACGTTAATTTCGTGTGCTTTTCGCCGTCGTTCATGGAAAACAAGGACGGCGCCTACAAATTTACTGCAAAACGTTCTTCCAACCTTTTTCGCCGTTTTTCAAAAATTTCCTAGTGCTCGCATTTACTAAGGGTGTGCCAGTGACAAAAAATTTGGACCCGTGAGATACTTCGCCCGTTGTTGGTCCCGTCAGCGTCATTTCGTGCGTTATGGTACTGGCAATTCGGGGGTCCAGGAGGAAGGGGGTCTCTCGCGACCGTTGGCGTGATACCCTTTTTCGACAACGACCATCCTCGAACGGCCTCGGCTCGGTATCACACGCTTCCCTCCGCGTTCCCCGTCCATCCCCCTCCCCCCCCCGATACTCCTTACCTACCTACCCCCCAATCGCTACGCGCAGACCTGGGTGTAAGTGCGAATTCCTCCTTTTTCTCTCGTTTCCTTTCGTTGGGCGGACGT